GATGTTTATGCTTGAATGATGGTGTATGGTGATGGTGAGGGCGAGGGATGAGGTGAGGAGGATTGTTGTTGTGAGTGGTTTGCAATCGTGTTCTTAGCCAAAAACAAAACGCACAGCGGGCCGCGTATACACATCTTAAACCAACGAAAACAAGCAGGGATCATATCCCCACGGACAGGGATCAAATGAATCAGAGGGATCAGATCCCAGCTGGAGTGATCAAAGCGATCTCAGGGATCATATCCAAAACCAGGGATCAACGGGATCAGATCCCAGTACCTTCCAGGTACCTGTTTGAAAGATGCCGGACGGACATGGTCTGGGAATGCGGACATCAAATTGATGATCTCCAGCAGAGACTCGTGAGTTGCCCATATCGTGCCCCTCAAGAGTGGGTATTGTAGTGGCCTCCGGCCAGTGCCGCCGATCCGGGGCGCTCCGGGTGCCTGTGGAAATGAACGACGACGAGGAAGACGAAAACGACGACGAAAACGAATACGTCGACGACGACGACGACGAGAGCGACGACGACAACGACCACGACGACGACGACGACGACGACGACGACGGCGATGACGACGACGACGACGCCAGCGACGACGACGACGACGACGATGACGCCAGCGACGACGACGACGACGACGACGACGACGACGACGACGACGACGACGACGACGACGACGACGACGACGACGACGACGACGACGACGACGACGACGACGACGACGACGACGACGACGACGACGACGACGGGGGGGGAGCTGGGTTGCAGGGGGGGGGGTCTGCTCTGCAGGGGGGGTCCGCTCGGCAGAGGGAGGGGCTGCAGGGGAGAGGGGGGGTCCGCTCTGCAGGGGGGGGGGCGCTGCAGGAGGGGCGTTCTGCTCTACAGGGGGGGGGGGGTGCAGGGGAGGGGGGGGGTCCGCTCTGCAGGGGGGCGGGGGTGCACGGGAGGGGGTCCGCTGTGCAGGGGGGGGGGGGGGGGCTGGGCTGCTGGGAAAGTCCGCTTTGCGCTGCTCTGCAGGGGGGGGGGGGGGGGGGCGGGGAGGGGGGGGGGGGTTCCGCTCTGCAGGGGGGGTGGGGGGGGGCTGCAGGGGGGAGGTCCGCTCTGCAGGGGGGGGTCTGCTCTGCAGGGGAGGGGGTGCTCTGCAGGGGGAGGGGCAGGGGGGGGGGGGCTCTGCAGGGAGGGGGGGGGTCGCTCTGCAGGGGGGGGGGGGGGCAGGAGACGGGTCCGCTCCGCAGGGGGGAGGGGGGGCTGGGCTGCAGGAGGGGAGGGGGCGCTCTGCAGGGGGGGTGGGCTCGCTCTGGACGGGGAGGGGGTGCGAAGCACTGAATTAGGTCGGAAATGAGGTCCCCCCCCACTCCGAAAGACTGAATTAGGTCGGAAATGAGTTCCCCCCCCCCCCCCCCGCAGAGCGAAGCTTGAGCGAGCTCAAGCCCACGCTCTCAGAAACTCACACGCCGGATCGGCGAATTTGGGACATGTTGACGCTCAAGTCCTTAAGAGCCCTTCAAAATTCACGCTTCAGGCTGGGTTTTTTGGAAGGCTTCGGCTGGTCCACGAGACCTCCCGAGGGCCTCGGCCTGGAGCAAAAGTTCGTTCGGACCCAAGATAGCACCCCCATTTCTGAGGCTGTCAGAGGCACGAATTAGGAGGTCAGGCGCAAGGAGGAAGAGGAGGAGGAGGAGGAGGAGGAGGAGGAGGAGGAGGAGGAGGAGGAGGACGAGGAGGAAGAGGAAGAGGAGGAGGACGAGGAGGAGCAGGAGGAGCAGGAGGAGGAGGATGAGGAGGAGGAAGATCAAGCCGAGGAGGGGGGCGAAGGTGGAGGAGGGTACTTTCCCCGCTTGCCTTCTCTTCAGCGACCCCCCCCTCGCCACCCCTCCCCGTCTCCGGAGGTTCCGACGCGGCGGCGCCATCGGGGCCGAACCGTCGTTCTCGGAGGCTCCGTCGAAGACGTGCGGGGCCGTGGCGCCTTCGGGCCCGCACGCCGCGTAGCAGCAGCCCGTGGTCGTCGTCGTCGTCGTAACTGTCGTCGGGGGAGTGGATGGCGGGGGAAGCGAGATAGGGAGAGAGACAAGCTGGGCGCGCCCCCGCCACATCTGACGCCAAACCCCTCCCTCCCACTCCTTCCTTCCCACTGCGCTGGTTCGTTCTCATCCACCGACGTGTGTCGTAGCGGACCGTAGCCTTGGGCTCAACCCACTGGTTCAGGCCCCCCTGGCTCAAGCCGCTCTGACCCGAAGGAACCCAGCAGGCTTGCTGCGCCCGAGGCGCCGATCGCTTGCCGGCCGGGCTGCTTCCGCGGACGATGGAGCTCCGCCGCGGCGCGGCGCCGCCGGCAGCGGCGTGCGTGTGCCGCGGGCGCCGTCGCCTCGAGCGCCGCGGGTGCCGCCTGCGCCGGCGCCGCGGGCGCGCCGCGGGCGTCCGACGCCGGGGGCGCCGCGGGTGCCGCGGGCGTCTCGGACGCCGCCAGCGCCGCGTGCTCCGAGGACGCTGCGGGCGCCGGGGGCGCGGTTGGCGCCGCCTGCGCGGCGGGCGCCTCCAGCGCCGCTCGTCGTGCAGCCGGTGGCGTTGCCGAAGCCGCCGCGGCGGCGGCCACCGCGCGGGGCTCTGGACGGCGGTGGCTGCCTTCGCCTTGGCGGCCAGGCTCGCCGCCCTTTCGGCGGCCCCGCTGGGCGCCCCGCCTTGCGGTTTGCCAGCTTGCTGTCCTGGCGCCGCGTGGAGCAACCTCGGCGATCAGGTGTCGGCTGGCTTCCTGGACCATGCTGGTCTCCCGTCTCACGGTTGTTCGGGTTACGTTGCCATGGAGCGCCGGACAGAGCTGGCCCGATCTCAGCGGCAAACTGCCGGGTGACCTGTCGCCACTGGCTGGGACTTACGACCCGGCTTCCTGGACCCTGTTGGGTCCCCGGCGCTGTTGATCGGTGTCGGGGGGCGCGCCCGTAGTTCTCACCGGCCTTGCTCCCAGGGCCGCGGTGCAGGGCGTGGCCCAGCCAGCCACGCTGGCGCGCCCCCAAACCACCGAGTCGGACGGGAGCTCTATGCGGCTCGGCTTCTGAGACTGGGCGATACGGCGCCGAAGTAAGCTCACAGTGCCCAAACCTCCCAGTTGAGCCGACGGGCAACGCTCGCTGGGGGCCCAGGGGGGAGGTTCGATCGAACACGCGCGCAGCACTCCGCTGGCGCCGCTGGGGCGGCCAACTCACAGACGGGAGGGCTTGTGGTTTCCCCCGGCCTTGATAGCTCCTCCCGTCGCATCGCGGAGACCTCTGGACTCCCGAAATGGGTACGGAATGAATGGGTACAATGCCCAACAGCAGTTCCTGTTCATTTTGAAACAGGATTCGCTGTCCACGCCGCTGCGGCCTGTGTCCATTCGAGACAGAGGGCCGCCTGCCCATTATCGGCCGCTGTTGGTTTGGGACAACATTTGTTGTTGGGCATTGTACCCATTGTTTCCGTACCCAGTTCGGGCGTCCAAAGGGACCTGCGCTTGGTGCGGAGAGGGTGCGCCGGTGGAACAGGTTCCGGGTGCGACCCATCCATTTCTCCTCACTGCTATATGTCGGCTCATACTCTGAGTGGGGCGGGTGGGCACGGCTCGTTCGTATTTTTTGGGGGGGGGCCGGCAAACCAGGTGTGGTGCCTCGGTCCGGGCCCTGCGGGCCCTTCGATTTCAATGGAGGTGCGCGTGTGGGGGGGGCGCTGCGCGTTTGGGGCCCCCCGAGCACCCTGGGGTAGAGCGTTGAGTTCACATAGGGGTGGAAGGAGCGGGCGGGGCAGCGGGCGGGGAGGCGCCGCCGAAGCGGGCACCGAGGGTGAAGCGAGCCCAGCGTAAGCGCAGGAAACAGGTGAAGAAAAGGAAGCACGTGGCCCAGCGGGCCCCACGCAGGCGAGAGCTCCGAGAGTCCGAGTGGGTAGGCTGCTCGAGTGTTTGCCGTCCGTCGACGCAAACAGTCTCGGGCCAGAGCGGCCTCCGAGGGGCGCGTGCACGAGTGGCCCGTCTGCCGGGGCGCCGTCGCCTGGTCACTCCCGCTGCGCCGGGAGGTGGTCCTGCGCCGCCCCCCCCACGGGGGGGGGCAGCACGCGCCCTGTCGACGTGGAGCCCACCGCCCTCGCGCTGGGAGGGTAGCCAGGGCACCATCTCCCGGGAAGTGGGCCCCTGGTCCTGGCGGGAGGGGGCGCTGGCTGCGGAGAAGCGCTCGGGGGGCTGCTCTGGCAGGGGGGGGAAGGAGGAGGGAGCGGGGGGGGGGTCGTGTGTCGCGTCGTTTGAGTCGTGGTGCGGTAGGTGTCAGTGCGGGTGTATGTGTGCGTGCATGTGGTGCTGGCGCACATCGCGTGTTGTGCGTACCTGTAAGTATGCATGCAAGGCTGTTTGGAGAGTGCCAAGATTCGCTGTCTTGCTGGCGCTCCAATCATTCGCGTGTTCTTCCAGGGCGGGCGTAGCAAGGTCCGACTTCCCAATGAGGCGCCTATATGGTACAGTGCGTGACCCAGAAATGCCCAATACGGGGCTCCGTTTACCAAAACGGGGCCCCCGCCTCGTTACTTATGGTCTGAAGCCGAACTAGCCGTTGGCATTGCACATGCTTCCTGAAGTTTTTTAAGCACGAAATCTGGGGGGGCATGGGCACAGGGGGGCTCGCGTTTCTGGAGTTAGTCGGGGGAGGTTGAGGGTTGAGCAGGAGCGCGGGGAGGGCCACGCGCCGGGTGGTTCGGCTTACCCTGTTCGGGGCCGTTTTCTCAATGTTGGCCACCGTGCCCCAGGAACGAGGACCTGCTGTCTCACGCAACTGGTTGGGTGCTGTGGGAGGGACGAGGAGGAGGAGAAGGGGGAGGGAGGAGGAGGAGGAGGAGGAGGAGGAGGAGGAGGAGGAGGAGGAGGAGGAGGAGGAGGAGGAGGAGGAGGAGGAGGAGGCTGGAGGAGGCAGGAGGCAGGAGGCAGGAGGCAGGAGGCAGGGAGGGAGGGAGGGAGGGAGGGAGGGAAGGAGGGAGGAGGAGGAGGAGTAGGAGGAGTTGGAGGAGGAGGAGGAGGAGGGACTCTGAGGGACTCTGATGACGCCGCCCTGTCTGAGGGCGCTGCCGCGCAGGGCAGCCCGCGCGCCAGCCCTGGGGGGGGGAATACAGCCTGCCTAGGATGGAGAGAGCGCACGGGCCAGCGGCCTCCGCAGAGGCCCAAAACGCCCCGACGGGCCGAAGGCACCCCGCCGCGGGCCCCCAATGGGGCCCGAGCGGAGGCCAAGAAAACCGAAGAACTGAGGGCCGCGCATTCGGGGCCCCCGACGGGGCCCCGACAGCACGGGGATGCAGACCATACCCCCCCCCCCAGGGTGCCAGGAAGGAGTCCTCCTGCTCCGCCTAGGAGGAGGAGGATAGGAACAGCTGCGCCTTGACCCGCCATTCCTCTAAGTCGTGCTGCGCGGCGCTCTCCATCAGCCGCATGCCGCTTGCCACCAGCGCCAGCCACTCCCGAAAATCATGAGTGTGCTCGTCACTGCCTCCCAGCGCCGACGCCGTTACGACAAGGCTGTCGATGCTGGTGCCAGAGCTTCCGTGCTCCACCGTCTCGTATACGTCACCGTGATGATCCAGCTCACCTGCGGGACCACCCAGCTCGCCTACATGATGACCCAGCTCACCTACGCGATGACCCAGCTCACCCCCGAGATGACCCAGCTCACCTGCACGATGATCCAGCTCCCCTGCGCGATGACCCAGCTCACCTCCATGATGACCCAGCTCGCCACCACGCTTAACCTCCTGCCCCGCCGTCGCCGTCAAATTGCCCGAGAGCTGCGGGAAAGGCGGGATGACGGGCAGGCCGACCGTCTCCACTATGCTGTCGTTGCCCAGGCGCCACTCCGCGTAGCGCTGCGCCCTGGACCTCTCCACTTTCTCGTACAGCTCCGCATTGGCTTGGAAAACCTCCGCGAGACCTCGATGAACCAGCTCAACTCCGCCATGACCCAGCTCACCTACACGATGACCCAGCTCACCTGTAGGATGACCCAGCTCGCCACCGCGATGACCCAGCTCTTCACCGCGATGACCCAGCTCACCTGCCAGATGTCCCAGCTCACCTGCCAGATGTCCCAGCACCCCTCCTTGATGACCCGGCTCACCTACACGATGACCCTGCTCGCCACCAAGATGATCCAGCTCTCCTCCGCGATGACCCAGCTCACCTACAAGATGACCCAGCTCACCAACTCGATGACCCAGCTCACCTACAGGATGACCCAGCTCACCACCGCGATGCCCCAGCTCCAGTGCGCTTTGACCCGCTTCCCGATGCCAGCGCTGCCAGCTGTCCTCAGCCATGCAGTCCTCGCCGCCATCCTCGTCAGCGTCAGAGTCCACCATCTCGAACCACTGCACGCCACCGCCTAATCCACATCCCGCGGCGTGCTGCTGCGGCTCCTCTTTCTCTTCTTGCGCTCCTTCTCCTTCCCCTCCTTCTTCGACTTCTTGCCCTTCTTGTCCTCCTCCGTCTCCGCCAGCTTCTTCTCCTTCTTCTCCTTCTTGTACTTCATGTCCTCCTGCACCTGGCCGGGCGTCATCTCGGGCCGGCTGCCCAGCCACTGTGCAGGCGGGACCTTGCAGCGCGACACGTTTCTTCCCGAACGCGAACGAGAGCACTGCGAGCTGCGCGTCGCCTCCGTCAGCTTCGCCCGCAGGGATGGCCTCTCGGCGGGCCATTCCCAATCTCCTGGGGGCGGCTGCAGGGGCTCCTCCTCCTTGGCGTCCTCGATCGCCAGCTGAGGAGCCCTCGAAGGCCTTGGCCTCTCCGCGGGGGCCGCCTGGGCTGGCGCCATCGCCATCACGGCCGCCTCCACACCCGCGCGCACGCCCGCCTGCACCGCCGCCGCGACGATGCCCTGGTCCCGCGTGCACTGCCATGGCGCTCGACTGGCTGCAGCCGAATCGCGCCATGCCATGAGCGGCTCGGGTGCGCTGCGCCCCTTTCAAGTGCGCGCACCCAACCCCTCTTGGCCCCAGAGGGGGAAAGGGGCTAGGAGGAGGAGGAGGAGGAGGAGGAGGAGGAGGAGGAGGCGGGTGGAGGAGGGAAAAGGAGGAGGGAGGAGGAGGAGGAGAAGGAGGAGGAGGAGGAGGAGGAGGAGGAGGAGGAGGGAGGAGAGGAAGAGGGGGGGGAGGATGAGGAGGAGGAGAAGGATGAGGAGGAGGATGAGGATGAGGAGGAGGAGGAGGAGGAGGAGGAGGAGGAGGAGGAGGATGAGGAGGAGGAGGAGGAGGAGGAGGATGCGGGTGAAGGAGGGAAGGGGAGGTGGTGGGAGGAGGAGGAGGAGGAGGAGGAGGAGAGGAGGAGGAGGAGGAGGAGGAGGAGGAGGAGAACGAGGAGGATGCGGGAGGAGGAGGGAAGAGGATGGAGGGAGGAGGGATGAGGCAGGGAGCAGGAGCGCCCACGCGGCGGGGGCGTTGTGGATCACGCCCATCGGAGACCCCGCGGTGCCGAGGCCGCGCGCTCGGGCCGCCTTTCGCCCGCATTCCGCTTGGCGTGGCGCAGCTGGACAACGTCCGCACGGAGTACCAGCGCTGGCGCATCGCGGGTGGGGCGGGAGCCCTCGCACATCTTGGGGGTTCCTCCAGGAGGTTTCTCCTTGGAACTCGCCTCCTCTTCATGCAAGTCCTCCTTCTCGTCCTCCTTCTCCTCCCCCGTCTCCTTCTCTTCCTCCTCCTCCTCTTCCTCCCCCTCCTCCTCCTTCTCCTCCTCCTCCTCCGTAGTCGTTGTGGCTCAAGCACAGGGGGCCCGAGGCGCTTATCGTAACCATTTGGGCTCACACTTGCTATGGGGTCTCCTAGCTCCGTGCCTCCACGTCGGCGCTTGAGGGGCACTTGGTATCATCCTTGCGTTTTTGTAGTGGTATTGCGGGGCTGCCTGTGGAGGAGGCGATCCTCTTGTGGGTTGCCAGATGACCAGTGGTGTTTGCACATAATTGACCAGGGGCCGCATCGGGCCGATTTCACGTCAGCTGAACTTGTGTCAATCTCTCCGGGTTGGGACAGTAATCCCGGTGGCTAAACGGAGCAAGTTTCGATTGATGTTTTGCTGTGCATATTATTCATGGTTTCTTTCCTGCACCCTTTGTCGGCGCCCATCTCGGGCGGCAGGGACAGTGGGAGCCCATGCGCCATGACCCAACGCCTTCCGCCTGGGTGTACCAGTTCGCGCCCTCGGTCTTTAAGCTATTTGAGACTGCAGGGGCGAGGCGGAGTACCAGCAGCTGGTTCTTCCTCTGTAGTGGCTGCGCAGTGGTGCTCTTCAGCATGCTGTGCGTACATTTCTAGTTCTTACGTTCCTGCTCGGGCGTTTCGACATCCATCCCAGGCAGGAGGGACACTGGGAGCCTACGTGCACTGACCCAACGCCTCCCGCCTGGGCGTACTTCAATGGTTGGTTGTGTTTTGACAAATGGTTTTTCCCTAGCATAAGGCACTCTGTGCATCCCGTGTTTCATGTGTTGCGTGTCGCATGCCGTCGCAGTTGTGCGGCTCTTTGTCACCTCGACTCGCGGCGTGGGCCATACGCTTTGTTTGACGAGGTGGGTGGATTTGTTTTGTGCCATCATGGGTTGGAGGAGTGAATGACGTTGCTGTTTCTGGTCGATTCTGGGATGTGGCGCGTTGGAGGGACTCATTTATGGCGCCCACGCGTTCCGTATGCTTCAGCACTCAGGTCTTCTGGTCATGCCCTTTGATCTGTTTCTTTCAGTGGTGGCGTATCCAGAGTTCGTCGTCGAGTCCTTCATTTCCGCCGCGGGTTCGGAGAAGGTCAGCGCCCGTCGCTTCGCGATTGCTCTAGTCCAGTCCAGACCTCCTCCTCCTCCTCCTCCTACTCCTCCTCCTCTTTCTCCCTCTCCTCTTCCCCATCCTCATTATCATCCTCAACCTCGTCGCCCAGATCATCATAATCGCCATCACCAGCATAATCATGATGATCATCATCATCATCACCATCATCATCGTCGTCATCATCATCATCATCAGCATCATCACAGGGCAGGGAGTCACTTCGACACCTACGAGGGGCGCCGACGCCAGGGCAGGGAACAGCAACGGCGGCGACGGGGGCCGAAGGATCTCAGGATGTCGCGATGGAAGGATGCCCCTGTCGTGCAGCGCGGAATCTCCCGTGGGCGTAGGCCGACAGCGCTGGGGCCCGCGGTTCGGGCTGCTGCCAACCTGCCCCTTGGTCGTGCCGCCGCTCGCAGGGGCCTTCACGAACAACGGTTCTGTGTGCGGCGCAGACAGGCCATGCATTTGCGCATGGAACGCAAGCCAATACAGTGGGGGCGCGCATCAAGAAACCACATGCTTCTCGTCAGGGTATCCTGGGTTTCTTCGCGCCGCGCGCTGCGCGGTGACTTCCCGCAGCCGTTGAAGCTTCGGGGGGGCTCCCTATGGGGCTACGAAGCGCGGTATTTGGTGGGCGAGAGTGCCAAATTGGGTGTGTGGGACGCGCGCGGGCGGTCCCACTGAGCTCTTCGGTGGAGTTGCCTAAACGCTGCACTTGGTGGGTGCACATGCAAAATGTGGTGTGTGTGTGTGTTGTGTGTTTTGTGTGTGTGTGTGTGTGTTGTGTGTGTGTGTGTGTGTTGTGCGTCTTGTTTGTGTGTGTGTGTGTGCGTGTGTGCGCGTGTGTGTGCGTGCGTGCGTGCGTGCGTGCGCTCGTGCGTGCGTGCGTGCGTGCGTGCGTGCGCGTGTGTGTGTGTGTGTGTGTGTGCGTGCGTGCGTGCGGGTGCGTGTGCGTGTGCGTGTGCGTGTGCGTGTGTGTGTGTGTGTGTGTGTGTGTGTGTGTGTGCGCGGGGGGGGGGGGGGGGGGGGGCGCATGCGGGCGGTCCATGGGGCTCCGGTGGAACTCCCTATGGGGCCACGACGCACTGTACTGGGTCGGTGAAGAAGCCAAATTGGGGCGCATTCGGGCGGTCCCACGGGGGGGTTCTGTGGGGCGCCCTGTGGGGCCACGAAGCGCTGTACTGGTGAGGAGGGAAGAGGGGGAGGATGGCGAGGAAGAGAAGACGAAAACGCGGGACACCGTTTTTTTCCAAACGGGGATCGAACACCACAGGATGGTTGGGAACAATCTACAAATGCACGCCAGTGGGGCTGATGTGTCATAAGTAGACGTAGTTGTCGTCGTCGTCGTCGTCGTCGTCGTCGTCGTCGTAGTCAAAGTCGTAGTAGTAGTAGTAGTAGTAGTAGTAGTAGTAGTAGTAGTAGTAGTAGTAGTAGTAGTAGTAGTAGTAGTAGTAGTAGTAGTAGTAGTAGTCGTAGTCGTAGTCGTAGTCTTAGTCGTAGTCGTAGTAGTAGTAGTAGTAGTAGTAGTAGTAGTAGTAGTAGTAGTAGTAGTAGTAGTAGTAGTAGCAGTAGCAGAAGCAGTAGCAGTAGCAGTAGCAGTAGTAGTAGTAGTAGTAGTAGTAGTAGTAGTAGTAGTAGTAGTAGTAGTAGTAGTAGTAGTAGTAGT